TCTCTGTTGTAGTCTACGGGAATCTTAGTGAGTCTATAGGTATCTATGTGAGTCTACGGGTCTCTACGGGAATCTTAGTGAGTCTATAGGTATCTATGTGAGTCTATGGGTCTCTGCTGTAGTCTACGGGAATTTTAGTGAGTCTATAGGTATCTATGTGAGTCTACGGGTCTCTACGGGAATCTTAGTGAGTCTATAGGTATCTATGTGAGTCTATGGGTCTCTACGGGAGTCTACGTGAGTCTATAGGTATCTATGTGAGTCTACGGGTCTCTACGGGTCTCTACGGGAATCTTAGTGAGTCTATAGGTATCTATGTGAGTCTACGGGAGTCTACGGGAATCTTAGTGAGTCTATAGGTATCTATGTGAGTCTATGGGTCTCTGCTGTAGTCTACGGGTCCATACGCGAGTCTATGGATCCCTACGTGCGTCTATGGGTCTCAATGAGACTCTACGAGAGGCTACGGGTCTCTCGGGGAGACTAAGGGTCTCTGTTTGAATCTAAGGGTCTCTAAGTGAGGCGATGGGTCTCAACGCGAGTCTACGGGTATATATAAGTCTAGAGGTCTCTACAGGTCTCTATGCAAAGTCCATGGATCTCTGAGTCTACTGGTCTCTACGCGAGTCTACTGGTCTCTACGCGAGTCTACTGGTCTCTACGCGAGTCTACTGGTCTCTACGGTTCTCTACCGGATTCTACGGTTCTTTGAGTTTATGGGTCTCTACGTGAATCTAAAGGTCTGTATGTGAACTTACGGGTCTCGACGCGAGTCGAAAGGTCTCTGCGGCTCTCTACGGGAGTGTATGGGTCTCCATGTGAATCTATGGTTCTCTACGAGAGTCTATCAGTCTCTATGTGAGCCTCCGGGTCTCTATGGGAGTCTACGGATCTCTACGGGAGTGCAATGGGTCTCTACGTGAGTCTATGGGCCTCTTCACGAATCTATAGGTCGCTATATGAGTCTGCAGGTCTCTCCGTGGGTATGAGTATATGGTTCTCTACATGATGCTACAGTTATCTATGCGAGTCTATATCTACGTGAGGCTACGGGTCTCTACAGGAGTGCAATGGTTCTCTATACGAGTCTACGAATCTCTGCATGAGTCCATGGGTCTCTTTACGAGTCTAGGGGTCTCTACGCGAGTCCACGTGACTCCGGTGTAATTGCCGTAGCTGTGCGGCTTGGAGCCTGGATTCGAACCCAGGATCCCAGCATCGGTGTCAGCTCAGCGTCTCTGACCTCCAAGCCGCACGGCCGCCTCAAAAGTGTCGCCCTCCCCCAGCAGCCTCCCCACCTCCACCCCCCCCCCCCCCCCCCCCCCCCCCCCCCCCCCCCCCCCCCCCCCCCCGCCCCCCCCCCCACCACCACCACCCCCACCCCCCCACCACCACCCCCACCACTAATGTAACCACCGCGCCAGGCATGAGCCCAATCCAAACAGTGTATTTTCAAATCGGACTGCAACCCATCATCACCTCCGCACGAATATAACCTCACCGTGAAAAATCAACAACGGTGGCAAGAGCAACCACCTCCATTGCGCCGATTCGCACTAATAATAACCCCCCCTCCCCGCCATCGGGGAGACAGAAAATAAAACAGACAGATTTTACCGTTATACTTTAAAGTAAGAGATTTTTTTTTAAAAAGGGAAAAAAAGCCACACTAAAATGGGGGGGGGGGGGGAGAACAAAAATGAAAAAGGACAAATCGAAAGGAATCTAAACAGGCTGCAGCGGATACAGTATATCAACTAGTGCCTATGCTCAAAGGTGCCCTTACGTCGACTACTTAAAGTGATTGCTTTGCTAACTTTGCATATAATTGGGGGAAAAAAAGGGAAGCTCTCGATTCGCGAGACACGTGGGGAGTTAAAGTTCGCGTTAGGATAACGGCGGTCGCGATCGTGACCCAAGTCCGCGCTGGTGGCAGCGGCGGCGGCGAGCGTTTTTGCTGTAAAAAGCCGACCTCTCGATGATGAACCGGCGGTAGCCAGGACACGAGGTCTCCGAGCCGCGAGCAATCCCTCAAAATCTCCTTCTCCCTCTCGCCCTCATTCCAAAGGGTCACAACAAAGGTTAACGGTGGTATTCGTCCGGAAGGTTCTAGAGGCGGCCGCGTCGTGACCGGGCTTTGCGGTTCGACCTCTCCAGAGCACGACGGCCCGGGGGGGGGGGGGGGGGGGGGAGAGTAAAAACATCGGATGGCGTGCCATGAATAAAGGGCCGCATGCCCGAAACGTCAGCTATTCATGACAGAGGCTTTGGGCTTTATTGTTGGGTTAGATCGCGTTATTAGAAATGCTGCGTCGTTTAAACCCTGCCAACCGCCACCCGACCATGGCCAATTGAGAATGAGGATGTTCGTCACGCAAATTAAACGTGGCCAATTCGTTAACTGGTTCAGCACTCGCCCCGGTTGTGTGTCGGGAGAGTGAAACCCGTGACATGTTAACGGCGCATTTATAGTTACGCTAAATATTGCCTCCATGTTAAATCGACGGCAGCGGGTGGGGCAGCTATTGGCGGGCACGCCGAGAGGCGTCCGAAGCAAGACGAAATAATGAAAATCCCGATCATTTCAGCCCCTTTGTTCGACGAAAAAATAAGAATCCACACGCAGGAACAAGCAGACACAGAGACACACGCAGACTCACGCGCAGACATACATAGACACACAGACGCACGGAGACACGCATATTAGGGAATTTCTATCATCGCCCACTCAAGCTGGTTAAAGGAGAAAGTCGAAGATGGATATTCCAAGTGTTGTCATTGGAAGTTGGACCATGGGATCATAGACTGGGGGAGGTGGGTAAGACAAAAATCCCCCCCCTTCCCCGGCCGTGTAGCCTTACCAGACTGTTAGGGCAAGTGCTGTTTAGCGAGTAGCAGTGAAGGCTGGCACGGTGGCGCACACGAGGGGGTTGGTGGCCAGCACCATGCCCGCACCGCCTGTGTCTACCCCGGTGGAGATGTTTTTTTTTTGTTACACATCGCACCAGGCACCAACTTGAGGCCGAGTCGACCTAGGAGAGGGCCCGGGACCGGTTCAGATAAGTCACCGATGTTGGCCGAGAGGGGGCAAACTGACCCTGGCCGTCGGGTTCGTAGGGCAGCGTCGCCAATCGCTGCACCACCGCTCACCGGCAGACGCCACTGCCACCGCCACGAATACCACCACCAATACCGCTACCACCACCCTCCATATTTGTTCTTTTGTGAAGCCACAAGGCCTGCCCCGTGGCACATTTCAGGCAAGAGTGAGAGCGCGAAACCAACAACACCACGACACTGACTCGTCGCTACGGCTGCGAAAGGTTTTCGCGGTTGTGCTGCCGCCAGCGCCGCCGCCACTATCACCGCCACTGCCACCCATCACCGCCGGCAAACACCACCGCCGCCACCACCACCGCCGCCACCACCACCGCCGCCGCCACAACCGGCAAACAGCACCGCCGCCACCATCACCGCCGCCACAACCGGCAAACACCACCGCCGCCGCCACCACCGCCGTCACCGCCACCACTGGCAAACAGCACCGCCGCCACCATCACCGCCACCGCCGCCACCCTCCGCAGTTCTTCCCAGGCTGTGCCGCTCGTCGCGATGTCAGACGTTCCGTTCCCCACACGTGCCGGGAGGAACGTTGTGGGGCAGTGGGGGGGGGACGTCGGAGAGCAACTTGCCGCTCTTCCGCCGAAAGTCGCGGCAACGACGTCCGTGCCGACGTCCGGGCCAACGTGCGACCGATGGTTAACTACGGCGCGACGACAAAGAGACTTGGCCAGCTGACGTCAACGGGAGCGCGCCGCAGACATCCCCCTCCGGCCGCTGAAAGCATGGCGCGCACGCTCCATTGGCTCGGCAACCCGTGAGCCTCGCAGGCCTGCCAGCGGCAACCTCACACCTGGGCACGCTCGTCCGTCCGCTGGCTCAACAAGGGGCGTAGCGGCCGGAGATAGCCCCCCCCCCCCCGTTAGGGGCGGGGCCGGAGGGTTAGGGAGGAGGGAGGGGGTTGTTGCCATGACCAATCAGATAGGGGGCCACCGCGGTGGCTGGGAGACGTTAACTCCGACGCCTGGCACGCGGGAGGTCGTGGGACCGATACCCCGACCCTCGGCTCCGGGAAGGCGACGGCGACGCACCGCGACTGGCGCGGCTGAAGGGGGGGACGGGGGGGGGGGGGAGGGGGACGGGGCGGGGGGGAGGGGGTCTGGAAGGCGTCCGTCCGTATCGATCAAAGCCGCGAGCAAGGCACAAATCTTAACGTCCACAAAACTCGTTTTTTCTTTAGAAACTGCTCTTTGTCTGGGCGCGTGTCTGCGTGCGTCTTCAGTTTGCTGCCCTATCCCTCGCCGCCCCCACCCCCTCTCCCGCGCCAGACACCTCCCTGTTAGCGCGGTCGGCTACGTACGGCGCGAAAGACGTTCGACGTACGTGCAACAGCGGGAGGGTGGTGCGGCGGGGGAAGAGGAGTGTGGGGTGCGAGGACTTAAAGAGGTTTCGTGTGATGTAGGCACACCGGAAGAGCCCTGTCGATGAACGGATTAAAAAAAATGCCAATGTTGTCTGAAGGGAGGCACGAAAACTGACCACCACGTGAAGGCTGCGTCACACCTGAGCGTGTGTGCGTGTACGTGCGTGTGTGTGTGCGTGTACGTGCGTGTGTGTGTGCGCGTGTACGTGCGTGTGTGCGCGTGTACGTGCGTGTGTGTGTGCGCATGTACGTGCGTGTGTGTGTGCGCGTGTACGTGCGTGTGTGTGTGCGCGTGTACGTGCGTGTGTGTGTGCGCGTGTACGTGCGTGTGTGTGCGCGTCTTTGCCTTTGTTTAGTGTAACTGCAACTCGCTAACGGCACTTGCCCCAGCAGTCTGTTAAGGCTACACCGGGGGGGGAAGATCTTTATCTTTGTGTGTGCGTGCAGCTTCTACTCACTAACGGCACTTGCCCCAACAGTGTGGTAAGGCCATATGGGGGGGGGGGGGATCTTTATCTTTGTGTGTACGTGCGTGTCTGTGCGTGTCTGTGCGTGTGTCTATGTGTAGCTGCTACTCACTAACAGTATTTTCCCCAAGAGTCTGTTAAGGCTACACGGGTATTGTCTGCGTGCGTGCACGCGTCTGCATCAGAACTGCCCACGGTCCGGGCCTAGGCGAGCCGGAATCGCGAGGCTCCACGCCTCGTCGATCCGGAATCGCGAGGCCGTGTTGCGTTGCAAGCCGCCGCTGCGTATTCTACCGTTTGCCAAATCGACCGCCGTGTTTCAGCGCCTTGTGTCACTACGCTGCAGTTAAGACGCTGCCCCTGTGCCGCATCGCGCGATGTGCCTCCCCCGTACCATAGCAGGGCTGTGTGGCGTGTGCTGTGGCGTGTGCTGTGGCGTGCTGTGTGGTTCCGTGTGGTTCTGTGTGGTGCTGTGCGGTGCTGTGTGGTGCTGTGTGGTTCTGTGCGGTGCTGTGTGGTTCTGTGTCGTGCTGTGCCGTGCTGTGTGGTGCTGTGTCGTGCTGTGGTGTGTTGCTCAGTGCTGCAGGGCCTCGTAGAGTTTGTAGGTGGGGTTCTCATAGCCATTCTGCTGCATCTTGGTCAGGTGGCGCTCCTCGTGGGAGAGCTCCTCGTCCACCTGGCACACGCGGTGACACACAGTGACGCACACGGTGACACGCATGTGATGACACACACGGTGACGCACGCGGTGACACGCATGTGATGGCACACACGCTGACACGCATGCTATGACACACACGGTGACACACACCCAAGGTGGCACACGCGTGGACCTTGTACGGTGGCGACACTGTGGCCAGGAGATGTTAACGACCTCGCCAGGTGTACAGGAGGTCGTGGGTTCGATCCCCGGGCCTACCTGAGCTGCTGCTCCCCGGGTCTACCTGAGCTGCTCCCACGGCTCCCGTCACGCTGCGGTCGCAGCGACTCCGTCGGCGCCTGGGAGCCGTGGACGCCCTCCCATTTACAAGACACCGGGCATCTGGGTACAAGCTAGTGCTAGCTCCACGCCGGGATAATGCCACCTCTCCACTCCACCGCCGACTTCCACTCAATCAACAACCACCTTCATTTGGACTGCATTGACATTCACCGAGAAACTGGACTAATTCGCTGTCCGCTTCACAGATGCTCTGGTCGTGTGTTCAATTGCAACTACTCAACCCCAAACTCCATTCCATCCATCTGGTCCTGTTTGCGCACCACGACTTCCTCAATACGTCATCACAACGTACGACACGTGCACCTAACCATTCACCACGAAGCAAAGTCACCTGAAACTGGCTTTGCTCAACACCCGCTCACTAAACAATAAAAGCCTCATTTTAAATGAATTCATTACTGACAATAACCTGGATTTTCTCTGCATCACTGAAACTTGGCATAAACCTATGGACTATTTCGCACTCAACCAGACTACACCTACAGGATATACATACATGGACAAACCCCCATCTGAGGGGCGGGGAGGTGGTGTCGCTGCAGTGTACAGAAACGACATTAAAACATCTACCATCTCCATCCTTGCTGTTCAGTCCTTTGAACACATCACTTTCAAACTCTCTGGTCCCACTCCTCTGGTCACTGCCATAATCTACCGACCCCCCCAAACCAAATCCTTCCTTTCTCCCTGACTTTTCTGACTTTTAAACTCGGTTATCTGCCATCTCACCTTCTGTTCTGCTCCTGGGAGATGTCAACATCCACATTGACACTGACTGTAAATTTGCTACTGAATTCCTGGAACTGCTACACTGCTTCAACTTCACCCAACATGTCAACTTTCCAACCCACAGCCGTGGTCACATTTTGGATCTGGTCTGCTCTACTGGTCTCACCGTACCGCTCTTCGAGCCCCACAACATCAAAATCTCGGACCACCTGGCAATCGCCATGAACATTGATCTCCCCATTTCTACAACCAAGGACAAAAAGGACAATTTCTTTCAGAAATCTTAAATCCATCTCTAGTCCTGCCCTTTCAGCCTCTCTTGCCAGCAAAATATCCTCCTCCCCCCCCCACCCGTGACTGACAACCCTTCCGACCTCACCAACTACTACAATGAAACACTTTCCACCAGTCTCGATCATCTGGCTCCCATCAAAACTAAAACTGTCTCATTCACTCACTCTGCTCCCTGGTACACTCCTATTCTGCACAAAACGAAATCCCGTAAGCATCAGCTTGAAAGGCTCCATAAGAAAACTGGTTTAACTGTTCATCTACAAGCTTACACAGATTACCTTCAGCAGTATAAGGAAGCTATTAACACTACACGGTCCATCTACTACTCACACCTCATACATTCTGGTTCTACCAACCCAAAGGCTCTTTGATACACGGTAAATAAACTTCTCAAACCCAGTGACAATATCGTCAACTCATTCACAACTGATAAATGCAACACCTTTCTATCATTCTTTCAGACCAAAATTGACACCAATTACACCAACCTGTCCTCTTCTTCTGCTACCACTGTCTGCTCTGTCATTCCATCATTTGTTCCACCCCCCCTACACCTCTCAGCCACTGTCTCAGTTATCCCCAGTGTTGCCGGGGGAGCTGTCTAAAATCTTGACAGGGATGAAAACATCAACATGTGTCCTGGACCCCATCCCATCCCACCTCATCATAGACTGTCTACCAGCTATCTCCACACTCATCACAAACATCATTAACTCCTCTCTCAGCTCTGGTTCAATCCCACGTTCACTCAAACTGGCTGCTGTCACCCCCATTCTCAAAAAACCTGGACTTGACCCCAACATTATGTCAAACTTTCGGCCCATTTCCAATCTCCCCTTTCTGTCTAAGATACTGGAACGCACGCACTGTCGCCAAACAACTCAAAACCCACCTCTCCTCAAATGACCTGTTCAAACCATTTCAATCCGGTTTCCATTCACAACACAGAACTGAAACAGCCCTCCTCAGAGTTACCAACGACATCCTCCTCTCCGCAGACTCTGGTCACCTCAGCATCCTCATCCTCCTGGACCTCACTTCAGCTTTTGACAACTATCAACCACGCCGTTCATTCTCTCGCGCCTCAAATCTACCCTCAACATCACCGGCACCGCCCTCCCCTGGCTCCCAATCTTATCTCACCGACAGACGACAGTTCATCCACATCAACAACTGCACCTCCTCCACCGCTCCGTTGTCCCAAGGTGTTCCCCAGGGCTCGGTGCTTGGTCCTTTGCTCTTCCTGCTATACCTGCTTCCCCTTGGCAACGTCATTCGCCACCGTGGTCTTAACTTTCACTGCTATGCCGATGATGTCCAGCTCTACATCTCCACCAAATCCATCACACCTCCGCCACCCACTCCGCTCTCTCTAACTGCCTCGCTGACATTAAGTCGTGGATGCACAACAATTTCCTTAAACTTAACTGTGACAAAACAGATATGATCATCATCGGTCCCAAATCTATCAATAAATCCATTCGCAGTTTCTCCGTCACTGTCGACACCAACGCCCTGTCTCCATCCCTTCAAAGTCGCAATCTTGGGAGTCATTTTTGACAATAACCTCTCCTTTGAACACCACGTAAAACAAATCGCCAGAACTGCCTTTTTTCACCCTCAAAAACATCTGCAGACTTCGCCCATCACTCTCTTTCTCAGCTGCAGAAACCCTCATCATCCACGCCTTCATCACCTCCACAATCAATTACTGCAACAGCATCCTATACGGCACCTCAACCAAAACATTAAATCAACTCCAGTACATCCAGAACTCTGCTGCTACGTCTGCTCACTCACACCCGCACGGGTGACCACATTAGCCCTGTCCTCCAGAACCTCCATTGGCTCTCGGTCCCACAACAAATTCAGTTCAAAATCCTCCTCCTCCTCACACGTAAAGCCCTTCGTAACCAGGCCCCTTCCTACCTCACCGACCTGCTCCACCGCCACAACCAATCGCCGTAGCCTTCGCTCATCTGACGCCAACCTCCTTACTCCACCTCTCAGGACCAAGCGTCAGAACCTGGGGCGACAGAGCCTTCTCTATAGCTGCCCCCACCCTCACTTTGGAACTCTCTCCCAAAACAAATCCATGACTGCACCGACCTTCCAGCGTTCAAATCTTCGACCAAAACTCACCTTTTTAAAATAGCTTTTAATGTTTAGCCAAGTTTGATGTTTTTTTAGTGTTTTTTTTTTTACCATTTGATGTTGTTTTTGCTGCTTTAAAGATTTGATGCAAAGTGTCTTTGAGCATTCAGAAAAGCGCTCACGATTAAAATGTATAATTATTATTATTATCATCGTCGAGAAATCCCAACAGGCGTGAAGGCAGCAGTCTCCGCCCTCACCTCGGTGGTGCTGACGGGGCGGTAAGCCTTGCGGCGGAGCAGCACCAGGCTCCCGATGACCACGGTGGTCACCACGGCGATGCCGACGAGCAGGGCGATCACGGCCCACACGTTGAACTGCTCGGCCTTGCGCGCATCCATCTGAAACAACGGGCGGGCGGGAGGCTTCAACACGACGGCTCGGCTCCTCGCGGTAGCAGAGCGGCCGACCGTAGCGCGCGGGGTGATAGCTCTACGGATTGCGTCGTCTGAATATTCATTCATCTTGAGGGCTTGGTTGTGCGTGTTCCCGTTTCGCTGGCTAGGTGATGATGGTCGGGAATAAATGGAGCTCTATGGTGTAGAGTTTTGATGAGGGAATTCTCTGTGAAGTTTGCCTTTGGAAGCTAAGCCCCCTTTCCTGATGACGACCGTTTGTGTTGCGATCGAAACGTCGAAGTATTTTTTGTTATTTTCTTTGAACCAATCTACGTGACATCACCGAAAGAACCAAAGAATGTGAATTCCTGCACTCACGAAAGTTTTCAGTCCAGATTAATACCATACTCACTAAACTATACTATACTTACTATACTCCCTAAACTATACTCACTATACTAAACTCACTATACTCACTATACTACACTCACTATACTATACTACACTCACTATACAATACTCACTATACTATACTCACTATACTATACTCACTATACTACACTCACTATACTATACTACACTATACTACACTCACTATACTCACCATACTATACTACACTATACTACACTCACTATACTACACTCACTATACTACACTATACTCACTATACTACACTCACTATACTATACTCACTATACTACACTCACTATGCTATATTCACTATACTATACTCACTATACTATACTCACTATACTACACTCACTATACTATACTCACTATACTACACTCACTATACTATACTCACTATACTACACTCACTATCCTATACTCACTATACTACACTCACTATACAATACTTACTATACTATACTCACTATACTACACCCACTATACTATACTTACTATACTATACTCACTATACTACACTCACTATACTACACTCACTGTACTCACTCACTATACTACACTCACTATACTACACACACTATACTACACTCACTATACTATACTCACTATACTATACTCACTATACTATACTCACTATACTATACTTACTATACTACACTCCCTATACTCACTATACTACACTCACTATACTACACTCACTATACTACACTCACTATACTATACTCACTATACTATACTCACTATACTACACTCACTCTACTATACTCACTATACTACAACAACAACAACAACCGCCATTCGCCACTAAGTGGCGGTGACGTCACCACGACGCTTGTGCCAGGCTATGTGCACCCTGAGGCCACGTGAAGTGTCGAACGCCCGCTGGCAGGAGGTCACGGGGCAGACCCAGGTACCACGGGTCGACTGACTGAGATGACTGGCTGATGCACCACCTGTGCCCCCTACTGTGCCAACCTGCTGTGCTTTAGCCACCCGGCGCTCCGCTCGCTGTTGTGAGCGTCGCTCCTCCGCCCTCCGTTGTTGTTGGAGGGCGACTGCCTCCAACTGCCCAGTAGCATCCTTCACGAGCCTCCTCCAGAGGCCGATCTTGACACCGCTGGTACCAGTCATCGGCAAGTCCACTCAGCTCCACGTCCTCCTGTACCACATCACTCCATCTCTTCTCTAGCCCGTGCCGCGCCCGCTTAGCCCCCTCAATCCGGCCAAACAAAAGCTGTTTCGGCATGCGGTGGCTGGGCATGCGGGCTACATGACCCAGCCATCGCAGCCTTGCCTGCCGGAGGAGCTCACCGATGGGACCCTGCCCAGATCTTTCAAGGATTTGTGAGCTCCTCACACAATCCAGTCTGGTTAAACCCAGGATGGATCGTAGGCAGGTCAGCCTAAATGTTTCTAACCGGCGAAGATGTTCCATTAGGGGGGTCCACGTTTCGCAAGCGTAGAGAAGGGAGGGAATGATCGTGGCCGAGAAGACCTGAAGCTTAGTGCGGAGCGACAGACCAGGTAGCTTCCACACAGCGTTACGCAACCGATGAAAAGATATTGCCGCTCGACTGATTCGGAGTGAGACCTCTGCTGTTAAACTGGAGCCAGTCATAAGCACACTGCCCAGGTATGGGAAACTCTCCACTCTCTCCACAACTGCCCCATCACCGATTGGGAGTTGTGGGGGTGGAGTGTCCGATGGTACAAAATACCCAGGCAGGTGCTTAGTTTTGGTGGGGCTGATGGTAAGGCCCCACCTCTTAGTGGCACGCTCCAGTCTCAGCAGCAGCGTCTCCAACTCCTCCTCTGACTGAGCAGCTATTACCAAGTCATCAGCATACATAACGTGGTTGAGCAATAGGGAGCCATCCCTTGACCGCACCCGGGCATCGATTAGCCTCCCATTATATCTGTACCATATGGAGATTCCCCCGGTACAGCTATTGAAGGCTTCACGAACTACGTGGTCAAAATAGATGTTAAATAATGTGGGAGCCAGAGGACATCCCTGTCGCACCCCAAGGTGTACAGGGAATGGCTCTGACTCCCGGCCACGTAGTTTTACCCGGGCCCGCTCACCATCATGAAGGTCCTTAATGATCGTGAGCAGAGGGTCAGGTACTCCAAAAGCACGAAGAACGACCCAGAGCCCAGGCCTACTGATGGTATCATAGGCCTTGACCAGGTCAATAAAGCAGAGATGTAGGTCTTGTTGGAATTCCCTACACCTCTGCTGTAGCAGACGGACAGAAAATATGGCATCTGTGCAGGACCGCCCTTTCCTGAAACCGCATTGGGGCTCCGCAAGCCTCTCCTCAGCGTGCCTGGCAAGGCGATGCTGAATAATCCTTGCCAGGACCTTTCCCGGCACACTGAGGAGTGAGATGCCCCTGTAGTTGTTACAGTCTGTGCAGTCCCCCTTCTTAAAAAGGGGGACCACCAGGGCATCCTTCCAATCCTGCGGAACCCGTCCAGTGGTCCAGACTGTTGTTATGATGTCATATAGGGCAGTCTGTGCACAAACGCCACCCTCCCTCACTCACTATACTACACTCACTATACTAAACTCACTACACTCACTATACTATACTCACTATACTACACTCACTCTACTATACTCACTATACTACACTCACTACACTATACTCACTATACTACACTCACTATACTACATTCACTACACTCACTATACTACACTCACTATACTCACTATACTATACTATACTCCCTACACTACACTCACTATACTATACTCACTATACTACACTCACTATACTACATTATACTATACTCACTATACTATACTCACTATACTACACTCACTATAATATACTATACTACACTATACTATACTCACTATACTATACTTACTATACTACACTCACTATACTCACTCACTATACTATACTCACTATACTACACTCACTATACTACACTCACTATACTACACTCACTATACTACACTCACTATACTACACTCACTATACTCACTCACTATACTACACTCACTATACTATACTCACTATACTATACTCACTATCGTACACTCACTATACGATACTCACTATACTACACTCACTATACTCACTATACTACTCACTATACTATACTCACTATACTCACTATACTATATTCACTATACTACACTATACTAGACTATACTATACTCACTATACTACACTCACTACACTCACACGTAATTTCTCGTGCATTAAATCACCTGGAAGAGGTCAGAGGCGAGGTCCTCGTCGGTCGCATTCCCGTTCTCTGCACACCACGCACAAAGACAAAGATCCTCCGTATAGCCTAACAGACTGTCAGGGCAAGTGCTGTTAGCGAGCACCTATTAAGGCCGGCATGGCACACGAGGGGGTGGGTGGCCAGCACCACGCCCGACCGCCTTTGTCTCCCTAGTGGCGATGTTCACACCTAGGTGAAGGCCAGGACCGGTTAAAATAATCGTTGCCGGAGTTGGCCGTGAGCGGGAATCGAACTCAGGGTCGCCGGGTTCGTAGCGCAACTTACCGCTAACCGCTACACCATCGCTCCCCGCACACACAATACGAAGGCAAAGATCCCCAGTATAGCCTCCACAGAGCGTTGGGGCAAGTGCTGTTAGCGAACAGCACCTATGGAAGGCCGGCACTGTGGCACACGAGGGTTGTGGATGGCCGCGCGCGGAGGCACGTGCGTAGGGAGGGCATCGCGAGCACGGTCTAAGGAGCTCGTAGTGCGAGGTGTACACACACACGCTTAGCGTCGCGGAGCACACGGGACGGGGCACACAAGACAGACAATACACACGAGACAATAGAAACGAGACAATAGAAACGAGACAGAACAAACAAGACAATAGAAAGGAGACAATAGAAATGAGACAGAACAAGCAAGACAATAGAAAGGAGACAATAGAAGGACAGAACAAACGAGACAATAGAAAGGAGACAATAGAAACAGACAGAACGAACAAAACAATAGAAACAGACAGAGCAAATGAGACAATAGAAACGAGATAGAACAAAGGAGATAAAAGAAACGAGACAAAATAAACTAGACAAAAGAAACAAGACAAAAGAAACTAGACAATAGAAACAAGACAATAGAAACGAGATAGAACAAATGTGACAATAGAAACAGACAGATCAAATGAGACAATAGAAACAAGACAGAAGAAATGAGACAATAGGAACGAGACAATAGAAACGAGATAGAACAAAGGAGATAAAAGAAACGAGACAAAAGAAACAAGACAAAAGAAACAAGTCAATAGAAACAAGACAATAGAAACAAGACAATAGCAACGAGACAATAGAAACGAGACACTAGACACAGACAGAACAAACAAGACAATAGAAACGAGACAATAGAAACGGACAGAACAAACGAGACAATAGAAACAGACAGAACAAACAAGACAATAGAAACGAGATAGAACAAAGGAGATAAAAGAAACGAGACAAAAGAAACAAGACAAAAGAAACTAGACAATAGAAACAAGACAATAGAAACAGACAGAACAAATGTGACAAGAGAAACAAAACAATAGAAACGAGATAGAACAAATGTGACAATAGAAACAGACAGATCAAACGAGACAATAGAAACGAGACAGAACAAATGAGACAATAGGAACGAGACAATAGGAATGAGACAACAGAAACGAGATAGAACAAAGGAGATAAAAGAAACAAGACAAAAGAAATGAGACAAAAGAAACAAGACAATAGAAATGAGACAATAGAACCGAGACAATAGAAACAGACAGAATGAACAAGACAATAGAAACGATACAATAGAAACAGACAGATCAAACGAGACAATAAAAACGAGACAGAGCAAATGAGACAACCGAGACAGCAGAAACGAGATGGAACAAAGGAGATAATAGAACGAGACAAAAGAAACAAGAGAATAGAAACAAGACAATAGAAACAAGACAATAGAAACGAGACAGAAGAGGGGGTAACGCCGCGCCGTGCCGCACCGTCATCGTCCACCGGGGGTCCCTCGCGTGCCCGTTCAGGCCACAGGGCGGGCGGCGTGTCGCTGGGCGGCATGAGGCCGTCCGAGCCGTAGCTCTGGCCCACGTTGAGCAGGCCCTGCCCGTAGCTCTGCACGTAGGCCGCCAGACCACCTGCAAGGCGCACAAAGACAGAGATGGCCTTAACAGACCATTTGGGCAAGCGCTGTTTCGCGGGTAGCAGCGGCGCGCCGATGTAAAGGCCAGCCACCGTAGCACGCGGCGAGGGGGTGGGGGTGGCCAACACCACCCCGGGCCGCCTTTGTCTCCCAAAGCGGCGATGTTTACTAACACATCGTACACGGGTACTCACTTGAGGCCAGGACCGGTTCAGATAATCGTCGCTGGTGTTGGCCGTGAGCGGGAATCGAGCTCGGGTCGCTGGGTTCGTAGCGCAGCGTAGCGCTAGTCGCTACGCTATGCAAAAACAACAACCGCCATTCGCCACTAAGTGGCGGTGACGTCACCACGACGCTTGTGCCAGGCTGTGCGCACTTTAAGGCCACATGAAGTGTTGAACGCCCGCTACTGGCGGGAGGTCACGGGACAGACCCAGGTGCCACGGGTCGACTGACTGAGATGACTGGCTGATGCACCACCTGTGCCCCCTACTGTGCCAACCTGCTGTGCTTTAGCCACCCGGCGCTCCGCTCGTTGTTGTGAGCGTCGCTCCTCCGCCCTCCGTTGTTGTTGGAGGGCGACGACCTCCAACTGCCCAGTAGCATCCTTCACGAGGCCAATCTTGACACCGCTGGTACCAGTCATTGGCAAGTCCACTAAGCTCCACGTCCCCCTGTACCACATCACTCCATCTCTTCTCTAGCCCCCTCAATTAGGCCGAACAAAAGCTGTTTTGGCATGCGGTGGCTGGGCATGCGGGCTACATGACCCAGCCAACGCAGCCTTGCCTGCCGGAGGAGCTCACCGATGGGACCTTGCCCAGATTTTTCAAGGATTTGTGAGCTCCTCACACAATCCAGCCTGGTTAAACCCAGGATGGATTGTAGGCAGGCTAGTCTAAATGTTTCTAACCGGCGAAGATGATCCATTAAGGGGGTCCACGTTTCGCAAGCGTAGAGAAGGGAGGGAATGACCGTAGCCAAGAAGACCTGAAGCTTAGTGCGGAGCGACAGACCAGGTAGCTTCCACACAGCGTTACGCAACCGATGAAAAGATATTGCCGCTCGACTGATTCGGAGTGAGACCTCTGCTGTTAAACTGGAGCCGGTCATAAGCACACTGCCCAGGTATGGGAAACTCTCCACTCTCTCCGCAACTGCCCCATCACCGATTGGGAGTTGTGGGGGTGGAGTATCCGATGGTACAAAATACCCAGGCAGGTGCTTAGTTTTGGCGGGGCTGATGGTAAGGCCCCATCTCTTAGTGGCACGCTCCAGTCTCAGCAGCAGTGTCTCCAACTCCTTCTCTGAATGAGCAGCTATTACCAAATCATCGGCATACATAATGTGGTTGAGCAATAGGTAGCCATCCCTTGACCGCACCCGGGCATCGATCAGCCTCCCATTATATCTGTACCAAATGGAGATTCCTCCGGTACAGCTATTGAAGGCTTTACGAACTACGTGGTCAAAATAGATGTTAAATAATGTGGGAGCCAGAGGACATCCCTGTCGCACCCCAAGGTGTACAGGGAATGGCTCTGACTCCCGGCCACGTAGTTTTACCCGGGCCCGCTCACCACCATGAAGGTCCTTAAAGACATGCACGCATACACACACACGCACGCGCGCACACACACGCACACAGACACGCACACACAGACACGCACGCATACACACGCACGCACACACACACGCACACATAGACATGCACACACAGACACGCACGCACACACAGACACGCGCGTGCACACAGACACACATACGCGACAATCCCTTCGCCAGAAAGCCACGGATGCGCCCCGGGTGACCCGGGCTACAGCATGGCCCTCCGGCGCGGCAGTGTGCAGCCAGCAAAGGTTGGTGGATCACGCAGAAACGGAGCATGCACGCGCGCTGCTACCACCTCCTGGCACGTAGCCAGGATAACGATGTTGACAACCTCGCTTGGTGTGCAGCAGGTCGTGGTTTCGATCCCGATCCTGACGATGCCTGCTGCTGTACATTTGGAGTTTGCGTCTCTCTCTCTCTCATCATCATCATCATCACGGTGACTAGCAGATGTTAACTACCTCGCGTGGTACACAGGAGGGTCGTGGGATCGATCCCACGACAGCAGGCAGGGAGGAGGACACCACTCACTTATCTGGGCCTGGATGCCGGGGCCAAGCCTGGGCACTTGGCTGAGAAGGGAGAGGCTCTCGTTGAGACGTTTCTTGATCACCGTCAGGTGGGCCTGAACCTGTACACGCACGCACGCACACAAAGGCAAAGATCCACCCCAACCGAATAGCCTTAGCAGACTGTGGGGGCAAATGCTGTTAGCGAGTAGCACCGACCACGGCCGGCACCGTGGCACACGATGGGCAGAATTGGGGGGCAGCCACCACGCCCGGCCGCCTTTGTCTCCCCAGTGGCGATGTTTACACACCGCACCGGGTACTCATTTGAAGCCGAGTCGACCTATGGGAGGCCCCAGGACCGGTTCGGACAACCGTCGCTGGTGTTGGCCGTGAGCGGGAATCGAACTCGGGTCGCCGGGTTCGTAGCGCGGTGCGCTAACCGCTACACTACCGCTCCCCACACACACACACACAGACGCAGACACACACAAAGATAAATATTTAAAGCTTCTGTTCATCCCTCCGGCCCCCCTCTCTCTCCCTCCTGGCCTCTCTGTCCGTCTTTCCTCCCTCCTTACCTCTTGGTGGACTTGTATATATATTTCTACTGACCGTGTACCTCGTATTTTTTCATTCTGTCTATGCTGGTATGTGCAATCCAGAGGTTGAACACGAAATTTAACACTTCTGAAATTCGTGGTCCGCCAGGAAGTGTCTAACTGTGTTGTTGGCCTGACTGGATGTGCTTCAAATAATGTTTTTTCAGGTTTGTTGAATTCTCGTCTCTCATCTTTTTGTCGTATTTACCTCCGTGATTTGTTCTTGACACCTGATGAAGATCGCTTGTGTTGTGATCGAAACGTCGTGATTGTTTTGTTTTAATATAATTTTATTGTATTTCTACATACGTGACTTTACCGAAAAAAACAATGAGTAATTTTATGCAGTCACGAAAGCTTTAATACTTTATAAATATCCCCCCCAACCGAATAGCCTTGGCAGACTGTTGGGTCAAGTGCCGTTAGCGGGTAGCACCTACGAAGGCCGGCACTGCGGCACACGGTGGGGGTTGGTGCGGCCTGTGAAAAAAAAATGCACGGCCAGCGTGGGCCTCCTCAGTGCCGAGATTTTTTACAAACCGCGCCAGGAATTCGTTTAAGGCTGAGGCCGAGGGAAGGTTCAGAAACCAGTTCAGATATTTGGCACTGACGTTGACTGTGGAGTGAGATGAGAGGCAGGAGGGAGCGTGGAGGGGAGTGGAGTTAGATGAGAGGGTGAGAGGCAGGAGAGAGCGTGGAGGGGAGTGGAGTGTGATGAGAGATGAGAGGCAGGAGGGAGCGTGGAGGGGAGTGGAGTGAGATGAGAGGGGAGAGGTAGGAGAGTGCGTGGAGGGGAGTGGAGTGAGATGAGAGGGGAGAGGCAGGAGAGAGCGTGGAGGGGAGTGGAGTGAGATGAGAGGGGAGAGGCAGGAGAGAGCGTGGAGGGGAGTGGAGTGAGATGAGAGGGGAGAGGTAGGAGAGTGCGTGGAGGGGAGTGGAGTGAGATGAGAGGGGAGAGGCAGGAGAGAGCGTGGAGGGGAGTGGAGTGAGATGACAGGTGAGAGGTAGGAGAGGACGTGGAGGGGAGTGGGGTCTCCGCTCACCATCAGCAGGGCGGTCGGAGGAGGCGGAGGATCACTGCTGCGCTGCGTGTGCTGGAAGTGTCTCACGGAGTGGACCTGGTCACGCTGCTCCGTCCACATGTAGCGCTTGAGCGCGTGCAGCAGGCGCTCACGCTGCACCCAGCAGCAGCAGAAGCAGCAGGAGGGAGGTGGGGAGGGAGGGGATACACAGAGGAGGAGGAGACACATGCACGCACATATTGAAAAAATAATTCTGATTGAACAAATCGTAACACACACAGAAGCCGAGATGCACTCGCACACACAAGGCAAGCGCTGTTCGCGAGTAGCAGCTGTTAAGGCCGGCACGGCACACGAGGGGGTGGGTGGCCAGCACCACGCCATGGCCACCTTTGTGACCGCCCCCAGTGGCGATGTTTACTACACCCCAAACCGGGTGATCATTGCAGGCCGAGTCGGCCTAGGGGAAGGCCTATGATCTCCGCTGGTGGTGGCCATGATCGGGAATTGAACTGGGGTCACCGGGTTCGCAGCGCAGCGCGCTGACTGCTGCACGACCCACTCACACACATACACACAAAGACAAAGATCCCCCGTATAGCCTTAACAGACTGTAGGGGCAAGTGCTGTTAGCGAGCAGCACCTATGAAGGCCGGCACGGCACACGAGGGGGTGGGTGGCCAGCACAACGCCCGACCGCCTTTGTCTCCCCAGTGGCGATGTTTACAAATCTCACCAGGTACTCATTTGAGGCTGAGTGGACCTAGGGGAGGCCCAGGACCGGTACAGATAATCGTCACCGGTGTTGGCCGTGAGCGGGAATCGAAACCGTGTCGCCGGGTTCATAGCGCAGCGCGCTTACGGCTACACCACCGCCTCCCCACACACACACACAGACACACACAGATAAAGATAACCCCCCACCGAAGAGCCTTAGCAGACTGTTGGGGCAAGTGCTGTTAGCGAGCTCCACCATTGGGCGTCCGTGCGCACCTTGGGTGGCTGTGCCTGCAGCTGGGACAGGTATTCCTCCAGGGCGGAGCGCCGTTGCATGTTGAGGGCCGCCTCCACGCGAGATTGGTGAGTGTCGCTCAGTCGCTGCTTGGCGCTCGCCAGCGCCGTGTCCAGCTGGTTCACCAGCCGCTGGAACCGCTGGCGGATCGGCGGATAGGCGGACATGCCGAATCATACACTCGCACAGAGACCCACAGAGTCACACGGAGACCCGTAGACTCACAAAGAGACCCGTAGACTCACACAGAGACCCGTAGACTCACACCGAGACCCGTAGACTCACACAGAGATCCGTAGACTCACACAGAGACCCGTAGACTCACACAGAGACCGGTAGACTCACACAGAGACCCGTAGACTCACACAGAGACCCGTAGACTCACAGAGACCCGTAGACTCACACAGAGATCCGTAGACTCACACAGAGACCCGTAGACTCACACAGAGACCCGTAGACCCACACCGAGACCCGTAGACTCACACAGAGACCCGTAGACTCAGAGACCCGTAGACTCACAGAGACCCGTAGACTCACAGAGAGATCCGTAGACTCACACAGAGACCCGTAGACTCACACAGAGACCCGTAGACCCACACCGAGACCCGTAGACTCACACAGAGACCCGTAGACGCACACCGAGACCCGTAGACTCACACAGAGATCCGTAGACTCGCACAGAGATCCGTAGACTCACACCGAGACCCGGAGACTCACACCGAGACCCGTAGACTCACACAGAGACCCGTAGACTCACACAGAGACCCACAGACTTACACAGAGATCCGTAGACTCGTACAGAAACCTGTAGACTCACACAGAGACCCCTAGACTCACACAGAGACCCGTAGACTCACACAGAGACCCACAGACTCGCACAGAGACCCATCGACTCACACAGAGACCAGTAGACTCACACCGAGACCCGTAGACTCACACAGAGACCCGTAGACTCACACAGAGACACACCGACTCACACAGAGACCCACCGACTCACACAGAGACTCACCGACTCACACAGAGACCCACCGACTCACACAGAGACTCACTGACTCACACAGAGACCTACTGACTCACACAGAGACCCACCGACTCACATAGAGACCCACTGACTCACACAGAGACCCACCGACTCACACAGAGACTCACACAGAGGCCCACCGACTCACACAGAGACCCACCGACTCACACAGAGACTCACTGACTAACACAGAGACCCACCGACTCACACAGAGACCCACCGACTCACACAGAGACTCACAAACTCACACAGAGACCCACTGACTCACACAGAGACTCACAGACTCACACAGAGACCCGTAGACTCACAGAGAGACTCACTGACTCACACAGAGACCCACAGACTCACAGAGACCCACAAACTTACACAGAGACCCGTAGACTCACACAGAGACTCACTGACTAACACAGAGACCCACCGACTCACACAGAGACTCACTGACTCACACAGAGACCCACCGACTCACACAGAGACCCACTGACTCACACAGAGACTCACTGACTCACACAGAGACTCACTGACTCACACAGAGACCCACCAACTCACACAGAAACCCACTGACTCACACAGAGACTCATTGACTCACACAGAGACTCACTGACTCACACAGCGTCCCCACTGACTCACACAGACACTCAATGACTCACACAGAGATCCACCGACTCACACAGAGACCCACCGACTCACACAGAGACCCACCGACTCACACAGAGACCCACTGACTCACACAGAGACTCACTGACTCCCACAGAGACTCACTGACTCACACAGAAACCCACTGACTCACACAGAAACCCACTGACTCACACAGAGACTCACCGACTCACACAGAGACCCGTAGACTCACACAGAGACTCACTGACTCACACAGAGAACCCACAGACTCACAGAGACCCACAAACTTACACAGAGACCCGTAGACTCACACAGAGACTCACTGACTAACACAGAGACCCACCGACTCACACAGAGACTCACTGACTCACACAGAGACCCACCGACTCACACAGAGACCCAGTGACTCACACAGAGTACCACTGACCCACACAGAAACTCACTGACTCACACAGAGACCCACCGACTCACACAGAAACCCACAGACTCACACAGAGACTCACTGACTCACACAGAGTCCCCACGGACTCACACAGACACTCAATGACTCACACAGAGACCCACCGACTCACACAGAGACCCACCGACTCACACAGAGACCCACCGACTGACACAGAGACTCACTGACTCACACAGAGACTCACTGACTCACACAGAAACCCACTGACTCACACAGAAACCCACTGACTCACACAGAGACTCACTGACTCACACAGAGACTCACTGACTCACACAGAGTCCCCACTGACTCACATAGACACTCAGTGACTCACACAGAGACCCACCGACTCACACAGAGACCCACCGACTCACACAGAGACTCACTGATTCACATAGAGACCCACCGACTCACACAGAGACCCACCGACTCACACAGAGACCCACCGACTCACACAGAGACTCACTGACTCACACAGAGACCCACCGACTCACACAGAGACCCACCGACTCACACAGAGACCCACCGACTCACACAGAGACCCGTAGACTGCTACCTTAATGAGGGCGGCTGCCTGGCGGTCACTGTTGGGTCTGTTCTCCGCGTTGATCTTCGCTTCCTCCCACGCCTTCATGATCTGCCGAGGGGGGAAGGAGGAACAGGAGGAGGCGGCAAGTCAGCGGCTACGCCGGAGCTGGCCAGGGGCGTGTGGCCCGGCAGTGGCTCGGAGGTCAGAGCGGTGGAGCCCCATCCGCCCCGAGGCGCCGGGTTCCAATCCGGTAAAACCCGGAGAGGATTCGTACGTTGTGGGGAGCGGCGGCGGTGCGGCGGTCAAGCGCTACGCTGTGCTACGAAACGCGGCGACCCGGGTCCAATTCCCGATTATCTGATCCGGTCCTGGGCCTCCCCTAGGTCGACTCAGCCTCTAATGAGTACCCGGTGTGGTGTTCGTGAAAACATCGCCACTGGGGGAGACAAAGGCGGCCGGGCGTGGCGCTGGCCACCCACCCCCATGTGTGCCACAGTGTCGGCCTTCATAGGCGCTGCTACTCGCTAACAGCACCTGCCCCAAGAGTCTGTTGAGGCTATACGGGGGATCTTTGTTTTTCTCTAACGTAACTTGAACTTCGAACCGAGGGTCTCGGTGGTAGAAGCCGGGACCCCTCCTCGTCCGCCCGTTCACTCCGGGGTCCTCCGGCTTTTGTCACCTTCCAAAGTCTAAAATCCACGTCACGCGTTTCAGAGCACTGGGCAGCTGCTCGACATTTCCCACGCGACAATGATGCCGATGATGATGAGCCGACAACTTTGCCGAGCTGCTATCAACATTGGCCATGGCCAAGGTCGCTCGTGAAAAGAAGAGAGCTATACAGCAGCTGTGGGGGGCCTTACTTGGTAAAAAAAGATTTAAAAAAACTTACATCCATGAGAGGTTTTTGTTGGGGAGGGTTAGATCGCGTAAATAAACAAATGTGTCGTTAAAACCCTCCACCACCCGACACAGCCAACTCGCAAGGGTTGTCGCGTAAACAGAACGTGGCAATTCGTCACTAGTACAGCACTAGTGTGTAGTGTCGTGTGCAGTGTAGTTTATAGTGTAGTGTATAGTAGTGTATAGTGTAGTGTATAGTGTAGTGTATAGTGTAGTATACTAGTACAGCACTAGTGTGTAGTGTAGTGTATAGCGTAGTGTATAGTGTAGTGTATAGTGTAGTGTATAGTGTAGTGTATAGTGTACCGTATAGTGTAGTGTACTAGTACAGCACTAGTGTGTAGTGTAGTGTATAGTGTAGTGTATAGTGCAGTGTATAGTGTAGTGTATAGTGTAGTGTACTAGTACAGCACTAGTGTATAGTGTAGTGTATAGTGTAGTATACTAGTACAGCACTAGTGTGTAGTGTAGTGTATAGTGTAGTATACTAGTACAGCACTAGTGTATAGTGTAGTGTATAGTGTAGTGTATAGTGTATAGTGTAGTGTACTAGTACAGCACTAGTGTATAGTGCAGTGTATAGTGTAGTGTATAGTGTAGTGTATAGTGTAGTATACCAGTACAGCACAGCGGTGTGTTGGAGAGCCAAGCCACAACATTTACAATCGTGGCTTGGCTTTCCAACACACCGCTGTGGTGTACTACTACACTACACTGTACACTACACTGTACACTACACTATACACTACACTATACACTACACTACACACTACATACTAGTGCTGCACTATACACTACACTATACACTACACACTAGTACTGTACTAGTACACTACACTATACACTACACTATACACTACACTCTAGTGCTGTACTAGTACACTAGACTATATACCACACTATACACTACACTATACACTGGTGATGTACTAGTATACTACACTATACACTACACACCACACTATACACTACACTATACACTAGTGCTGTACTAGTATACTATACACTACACTATACACTAGTGCTGTACTAGTATACTAAACGATACACTACACTATGCACTAGTGCTGTACTAGTATACTACACTATATACTACACTACACACTACACTATACACTAGTGCTGTACTAGTACACTACACTATACACTACACTATACACTAGTGCTGTACTAGTATACTACACTATACACTACACTATACACTAGTGCTGTACTAGTATACTACACTATACACTACACTATACACTAGTGCTGTACTAGTATACTACACTATACACTACACTATACACTACACTACACACTAGTGCTGTACTAGTACACTACACTATACACTACACTACACACTAGTGCTGTACTAGTACACTACACTATATACTACACTATACGCTACACTATACACTACACTATACACTACACACTAGTGCTGTACCAGTGACAAACTGGTCACGTTCTGTTTACGTGACACAACCCTTACTGCTAGTTGGCTGTGTCGGGTGGTGACGGGTTTTAACGACACATTTAGATATTTAGGCGATCTAACCCAAAACAACCTCTGTTATGGATGTAAGTTTTTTTTATGGATGATATTGATTCGCGAAAGCCTATAATGTGTTAAAAAAACTCACAGTTTGAGTTTACTGGGGTGGGAGGCTGCTACCTGGATGAGCCGGAGGTGATGATGCACCTCCAGCTGGTCCTTGGCCTTGAGGAAGCGGTCGTGCTCCAGCTCGTCGCCCGCCGGCGAATCGAAGTACAGCTTCAACACGTCCTGCTGCTGCTGCTGCTCGTCGTTATCGTCGTCAGCGCCAGTCTCGCCTGAGTGGGTGGGGTGGGCGGGTAGGGGTGAGCCCTCCTCCTCCTCCACCTCCTCCTCCACCTCCTCCTCCACCTCCTCCTCCACCTCCTCCTCCACCTCCTCCTCCACCTCCTCCTCCACCTCCTCATCCCGCCCCAGACGCCGTCGCTGGGCCTCGACGACGTTTTTGCCGGAGGTTCACGGTCCCGGCCGGGCGCCCTCCCCCCCCGCTACCCCCCCAGCTACCCCCCCCCCCCACCCCCACGCATCCCGCGGCTTCCTGTCCCGTCTGGTTTGGCTCGCGACGCGACCGCAGCCACCACCGCGGTGGCGGAGTTGGGCAGCGTGCGGTGCGACTCTCTCCAGCGACCACCACCCACCCCCTGGGTTAATACCGCGGCGAATCAAACGCACGCGCGCACACACATGCACGAATACACAACAACAACCGCCATTCGCCACTAAGTGGCGGTGACATCACCGCGACGCTTGTGCCAGGCAATGTGCACATTGAGGCCACGTGAAGTGTCGAACGCCCGCTGGCAGGAGGTCACGGGGCAGACCCAGGTGCCATGGGTCGACTGACTGAGATGACTGGCTGGTGCACCACCTGTGCCCCCTACTGTGCCAACCTGCTGTGCCTTAGCCACCCGGCGCTCCGCTCGTTGTTGTGAGCGTCGCTCCTCCGTCCTCCGTTGTTGTTGGAGGGCGACTGCCTCCAACTGTCCAATAGCGTCCTTCACGAGCCTCCTCCACAGAGGCCGATCTTGACACCGCTGGTACCAGTCATCGGCAAGTCCACTCAGCTCCACGTCCTCCTGTACCACATCACTGCATCTCTTCTCTAGCCCGTGCCACGCCCGTTCAGCCCCCTCGATCCGGCCGAACAAAAGCTGTTTAGACATGCGGTGGCTGGGCATCAGGGCTACATGACCCAGCCAACGCAGCCTTGCCTGCCGGAGGAGCTCACCGATGGGACCTTGCCCAGATCTTTCAAGGATTTGTGAGCTCCTCACACAATCCAGCCTGGTTAAACCCAGGATGGATCGTAGGCAGGTTAGCTTAAATGTTTCTAACCAGTGAAGATGTTCCATTAGGGGAGTCCACGTTTCACAAGCGTAGAGAAGGGAGGGAATGACCGTGGCCGAGAAAACCTGAAGCTTAGTGCGGAGCGACAGACCAGGTAGCTTCCACACAGCGTTACGCAACCGATGAAACGATATTGCCGCTCGACTGATTCGGAGTGAGATCTCTGCTGTTAAACTGTAGCCGGTCATAAGCACACTGCCCAGGTATGGGAAACTCTCCACTCTCTCCACAACTGCCCCATCACCGATTGGGAGTTGTAGGGGTGGAGTGTCCGATGGTACAAAATACCCAGGCAGGTGCTTAGTTTTGGTGGGGCTGATGGTAAGGCCCCATCTCTTAGTGGCACGCTCCAGTCTCAGCAGCAGCATCTCCAACTCCTCCTCTGAATGAGCAGCTATTACCAAATCATTGGCATACATAACGTGGTTAAGCAATAGGGAGCCATCCCTTGACCGCACCTGGGCATCGATCAGCCTCCCATTATATCTGTACCAAATGGAGATTCCCCCGGTACAGCTATTGAAGGCTTCACAAACTACGTGGTCAAAAATAGATGTTAAATAATGTGGGAGCAAGAGGACACCCCTGTCGCACCCCAAGGTGTACAGGGAATGGCTCTGACTCCCGGCCACGTAGTTTTACCCGGGCCCACTCACCATCATGAAGGTCCTTAATGATCGTGAGCAGAGGGTCAGGGACTCCAAAAGCACGAAGAACAACCCAGAGCCCAGGCCTACTGATGGTATCACAGGCCTTGACCAGGTCAATAAAGCAGAGATGTAGGCCTTGTTGGAATTCCCTACACCTCTGCTGTAGCAGACGGACAGAAAATATGGCATCTGTGCAGGACCGCCCTTTCCTGAAACCGCATTGGGGCTCCGCAAGCCTCTCCTCAGCGTGCCTGGCAAGGCGATGTTGAATAACCCTTGCCAGGACCTTTCCTGGCACACTGAGGAGTGAGATGTCCCTGTAGTTGTTACAGTCTGTGCGGTCCCCCTTCTTAAAGAGGGGGACCACCAGGGCATCCTTCCAATCCTGCGGAACCCGTCCAGTGGTCCAGATTGTTGTTATGATGTCATATAGGGTAGTCTGTGCACAAATGCCACCCTCCCTCAGCATTTCGCTTGGGAGATCGTCTCTACCCGGTGCCTTTCCTGTTCTCAGACTCCGGATCGCCTTCAGTACTTCCTCAACAGATGGCACCTCAGCCAGCCACTCACAGGGGGTGATTTCTTCCAATATTTGAGGCACTGCAGCCTCAGCAGGTTCATCCCCACTTTGTGCCACGATGTTTTCCTGGCTGAGGGATTTCCCCTCCCCCAGGAACTCACAGAAATGCTCAGCAAATCTGCAAACCTGTTCCTGGGGGTCGGAGATTGGATAACCGTTTTTTCCCCTAATGATGGTAATAGGGGTGGCGCTGCAGGTTACTTTTTTGATGGATTTAAATAGAGATTTGTGATCACGGGCCACTGAGGCAGACTCCATCTCCTCAGCAACCCGCGACCACCACCCATCCTTGCAGCGCCTCATAGCTCTCCGAACCTCCGAGCGAAGGCTGCTGTAAGCCTCCTCATTCTCTGACGTGGGATTCTGTAGCCGATGACAATGGGCCTGTCGCTTTTTCTCAACCATCCTGAACACCTCACCTGTCAGCCAGGGTCTCCGGGGAGGTCTGGACCGCGTACCCAAAGCAGCCATTGCAGCTGCATGAGTCACAGTCCTAAACCTCGCCCATTTACCCTCGACATCAGGAGGAGTGGGGGACAATGCCAACCCCAGCCGCAAGCGATGATGAAATTCTAGCTTGCAACTTTCATCAGATAACTGAGACCAGGCCACTTTAGGTTGGAATGGGGTCCTGGGTGTATACCCACCACCGGAGTGGAAGAATGGCAGGCGCATCTTACAGAGGACTAGTCGATGGTCAGAGGGCAGATCAGCTCCACGGTAGGTCCTGGTGTCAAGCACATGGGCTCGCATCCGCTGGTCCGTCACTATGTAGTCCAGCAGATGTTCTCGCATACATACACGCACGCACACACACGCACACACGCGCGCACACACACGCGCACACACACGCGCACGCACACACACGCACACACACGCACGCGCACACAAACACCGCGCTCCCCGCAACCACTGACAATGTCGTGGCCCGCGGTGTTTCACCCGCAGCGCACGACGTGCCAGGAAAGTCGGCCCCACGCCGCGTCCATTCAACTCTCCCCAAACCGGGGGGGGTGGAGCGGCTTGGAACCCCATCCCTGTCAACCCCTGACCAGTGCCCCTACCTTATCACAGACCAATTCAGACCTCATTGGTCACCCCGTGCCCCCTTATAAATCTCAACGTTCATCCCAAAAGTCCCATCATCATCACAAATAGACAAATCTAAATATTTTTTGCCCGCCCTTGAAACGCCGTGTGGACCCTGAGAACTCGGTTTCTCTGTACAAGACGAGGGGAGAAAACCGTGACGCGTTGACACGGCGTGGGAATTAGCGAGCGGCACTCGGAAGCCTCACCGGCCTCCTCCTCCGCCTCCTCCTCCTCCGCCTCCCGATCCTCATAGTCGCTGTGCCCGGGTGCGCTGGGCCAGTCGTACTCCACGTTGTAGTCGTCCGTGCCGGGGTCGCTCCCCTCCCGCGTCTCGTAGTCAGACTCCTCCTCCTCCTCCTCCCCCTCGTCGTCGTCGTCGCCGTCGCCCTCGACGACGGCCGGGTAGTCTTCGTCCGCGTGGTCCTCCCCGACGGGCGCGGCCGCGTCCGTGTCGGCCTCCTCGCTGGTGGGTTACCCGCACCCAACAGAGACAAAGGTCGCTCCCCCCAACCCCGTGCCGCCCGTGACGGACCGTCGCGGAACGTGCCGTCGGGCGAGCAGCAGCGACGACGCGTCGGATGGCCAGCAACCACGCCGCGCCCGGCCGCCTTTGTCTCCCCGGTGGCGATGTTTACCGCACGCCACGCCGGGTACTTATTTGAGGCCGAGTCGACCTAGGGTAGGGTCCGGCACCGGTTGAGATAACCGTGCGCCGGTGCTGGCCGTGAGCGGGAATCGAACCCGGGTTCGCCGGGTTCGCCGGGTACGCCGAGCGGCGTGGCGCCGACCGCTACCGCCACCGCTCGCTGGTGGGACCCACGCCACCATCGTCACCCGCGGTCAGTCACCCGCTCGTCAGCCTTCTATCGCTGCTGCTGCTGCTGCTGCCGTGGTTACTCTGCCCGTGAACTTCAGTCACTGAATCACTCTCCAAGTCGCTCGCTCATTGGCATGCAGCCACCTCCCTGTCACTCTTCTGTCACTGGGGGGTGGTGGGGGGGTGGTGGGGGGGGTGGTGGTGGGGGGGGTGGGGGGGGGGCATGCGGGCAGAACCCACCTGGACTGCGCGTCGTTCATGTCGAACCACAGCTCCAGGTCGTCCTCGTAAGGGCTCCTCTGGGGCTTGTCCGCAGCCTCGTCCTCGTCATTTCTCAAATCGTACCCCTCCTCCTCCTCCTCCTGCTGCTCCTCCTGCTCCTCCTCCTCCACCTCGTCCTCCACCTCGTCCTGGGAAAATTCCTCTTCAGGAGCGTCGACCTCCTCCTCATCCTCCACCACGTCTTCATCCTCCTCCTCCTCCTCCTCCTCAGGGACGACCTCCTCCTCTACCTCAGGGACCTCCTCATCCTCCTCTTCCGCCGCCACCACCTCCTCCTGGACGTCGTCGACGTCATCATCGTCGTAGTCGTCGTAGGAGGAGACTTCCCGCGAGCGCGTCTCCTCCGAGCCGCCGGCGGGGGACGGGCAGCACGTGTAGCGTATGCCGCGGAAGCCGTCCGCGCCGCACGGCCTTCTGGGGGTGTAGTCCCACAGGGTGTACTCCAGGCACATCTGGGTGCGGGGGGGGGAGGGGAGCCGCGTGCGGGGGGAGTTACGTGGAGACACGGGCAGAGAGAGACACAGGCAGAGAGAGACACGGGGAGAGAGACACGGGCGGAGAGAGACACGGGCAGAGAGACACGGGGAGAGAGAGACACGGGCGGAGAGAGACACGGGGAGAGAGAGACACGGGCGGAGAGAGACACGGGGAGAGAGAGACACGGGCAGAGAGAGACACGGGCAGAGAGAGACACGGGGAGAGAGAGACGCGGGCAGAGAGAGACGCGGGCAGAGAGAGACGCGGGCAGAGAGAGACGCGGGCAGAGAGAGACGCGGGCAGAGAGAGACACGGGCAGAGAGAGACGCGGGCAGAGAGAGACGCGGGCAGAGAGAGACACGGGCAGAGAGAGACACGGGCAGAGAGAGACACGGGCAGAGAGAGACACGGGCAGAGAGAGATACGGGGAGAGAGAGACACGGGGAAAGAGACACGGGGAGAGAGACACGGGCAGAGAGAGACACGGGCAGAGGGAGACACGGGCAGAGAGAGACACGGGCGGAGAGAGACACGGGGAGAGAGAGACACGGGGAGAGAGAGACACGGGGAGAGAGAGACACGGGCAGAGAGAGTCACGGGCAGAGAGAGACACGGGCGGAGAGAGACACGGGCAGAGAGACACGGGGAGAGAGAGACACGGGCGGAGAGAGACACGGGGAGAGAGAGACACGGGCGGAGAGAGACACGGGGAGAGAGAGACACGGGCAGAGAGAGACACGGGCAGAGAGATACACGGGGAGAGAGAGACGCGGGCAGAGAGAGACGCGGGCAGAGAGAGACGCGGGCAGAGAGAGACGCGGGCAGAGAGAGACGCGGGCAGAGAGAGACACGGGCAGAGAGAGACACGGGCAGAGAGAGACGCGGGCAGAGAGAGACGCGGGCAGAGAGAGACGCGGGCAGAGAGAGACACGGGCAGAGAGAGACACGGGCAGAGAGAGACACGGGCAGAGAGAGACACGGGCAGAGAGAGATACGGGGAGAGAGAGACACGGGGAAAGAGACACGGGGAGAGAGACACGGGCAGAGAGAGACACGGGCAGAGGGAGACACGGGCAGAGAGAGACACGGGCGGAGAGAGACACGGGGAGAGAGAGACACGGGGAGAGAGAGACACGGGGAGAGAGAGACACGGGCAGAGAGAGTCACGGGCAGAGAGAGACACGGGCAGAGAGAGACACGGGCAGAGAGAGACACGGGCAGAGAGAGACACGGGCAAAGAGAGACACGGGGAGAGAGAGACACGGGCAGAGAGAGACACGGGGAGAGAGAGACACGGGCAGAGAGAGACACGGGCAGAGAAACAGGGACAGGGAGACACGGGTAGAGAGACACGGGCAGAGAGACACGGGCAGAGAGAGACACGGGCAGAGAGAGACACGGGCAGAGAGAGACACGGGCAGAGAGAGACACGGGGAGAGAGGGACACGGGGAGAGAGGGACACGGGCAGAGAGAGACACGGTCAGAGAAACAGGGACGGGGAGACATGGGCAGAGAAACAGGGACAGGGAGACACGGGTAGAGAGACACGGGCAGAGAGACACGGGCAGAGAGAGACACGGGCAGAGAGAGACACGGGCAGAGAGAGACACGGGCAGAGAGAGACACGGGCAGAGAGAGACACGGGCAGAGAGAGACACGGGCAGAGAGAGACCCGGGGAGAGAGACGCGGGGAGAGACGCGGGGAGAGACACGGAGAGAGAGACACAGGCAGAGAGACACGGGCAGAGAGACACGGGGAGAGAGAGACACGGGGAGAGAGAGACACGGGGAGAGAGAGACACGGGAGAGAGAGACACGGGAGAGAGAGACACGGGGAGAGAGAGACACGGGGAGAGAGAGACACGGGGAGAGAGACACGGGGAGAGAGAGACACGGGGAGAGAGAGACACGGGCAGAGAGACACGGGCAGAGAGACACGGGGAGAGAGATACACGGGGAGAGAGAGACACGGGGAGAGAGAGACACGGGGAGAGAGAGACACGGGGAGAGAGAGACACAGGCAGAGAGACACGGGCAGAGAGAGACACGGGAAGAGAGAGACACGGGCAGAGAGAGACACGGGCAGAGAGAGACACGGGGAGAGAGATGCGGGGAGAGACACGGGCAGAGAGAGACACGGGCAGAGAGAGACACGGGCAGAGAGAGACACGGGCAGAGAGAGACACGGGGGGAGAGATGCGGGGAGAGAGACGCGGGGAGAGACACGGAGAAAGAGACACGGGGAGAGAGACACGGGCAGAGAGACACGGGCAGAGAGAGACACGGGCAGAGAGACACGGGGAGAGAGACACAGGCAGAGAGACATGGGGAGAGAGACACGGGGAGAGAGAGACACAGGCAGAGAGAGACACGGGGAGAGAGAGACACAGGCAGAGAGAGACACAGGCAGAGAGAGACACGGGGAGAGAGACACAGGCAGAGAGACACGGGCAGAGAGACACGGGGAGAGAGAGACACGGGGAGAGAGAGACACGGGGAGAGAGAGACACGGGAGAGAGGGACACGGGAGAGAGACACGGGGAGAGAGAGACACGGGGAGAGAGACACGGGGAGAGAGAGACACGGGGAGAGAGAGACACGGGCAGAGAGACACGGGCAGAGAGACACGGGGAGAGAGAGACACGGGGAGAGAGAGACACGGGGAGAGAGAGACACGGGCAGAGAGAGACACAGGCAGAGAGACACGGGCAGAGAGACACGGGCAGAGAGAGACACGGGGAGAGAGAGACACGGGCAGAGAGAGACACGGGCAGAGAGAGACGCGGGGAGAGAGACGCGGGGAGAGACACGGGCAGAGAGAGACACGGGCAGAGAGAGACACGGGCAGAGAGAGACACGGGGAGAGAGACGCGGGGAGAGACACAGAGAAAGAGACACGGGGAGAGAGACACGGGCAGAGAGACACGGGGAGAGAGAGACACGGGCAGAGAGAGACACGGGCAGAGAGAGACACGGGCAGAGAGAGACACGGGGAGAGAGAGACACGGGGAGAGAGAGACACAGGCAGAGAGACACGGGCAGAGAGACACGGGGAGAGAGACACAGGCAGAGAGACACGGGGAGAGAGACACGGGGAGAGAGAGACACAGGCAGAGAGAGACACGGGGAGAGAGAGACACAGGCAGAGAGACACAGGCAGAGAGAGACACGGGCAGAGAGACACAGGCAGAGAGACACAGGCAGAGAGACACGGAGAGAGAGACACGGGCAGAGAGAGACACGGGGAGAGAGAGACACGGGAGAGAGAGACACGGGAGAGAGACACGGGGAGATAGAGACACGGGAGAGAGACACGGGGAGAGAGAGACACAGGCAGAGAGAGACACGGGGAGAGAGAGACACAGGCAGAGAGACACAGGCAGAGAGAGACACGGGCAGAGAGACACAGGCAGAGAGACACAGGCAGAGAGACACGGGGAGAGAGACACGGGGAGAGAGACGCACAGACACAGCTAGGAACAGGAGGGTGGTGGTGTGGGGCACCTGGCGAGCAAGACGCTTCCAGAACCTGGCCGGGTGACACTCGTCCAACTTCATCTGACCCATCTGGACGCAGTCGCCCAGCTGCGAGTGAGCGTCGCCATCGGTCACGGTGGCCTCCTCCATGTCCACCTCCTGCTCCACCTCAACTGCACGCGCCGCCAGGCCGGAGAGAGGAGCCCGCGTCATTGGAGAGCTCCTTGCCCTCAAACTCATCTCACCCCACTCCCTTCCAAGCTCTCTCCTGCCTCTCATCTCACTCCACTCCACTCCCCTCCATGCTCTCTCCTGCCTCTCCCCTCTCATCTCACTCCACTCCCCTCCATGCTCTCTCCTGCCTCACTCCTCTCATTGAACTCCACTCCCCTCCACGCTCTCTCCTGCCTCTACCCTCTCATCTCACTCCACTGCCCTAGGCTTTACATGGAGATACCCATAGGCTCACGCAGAAAACCACTCACGCAGAAAACCACTCACGCAGAAAACCACTCACGCAGAAAACCACTCACGCAGAAAACCACTCACGCAGAAAACCACTCACGCAGAAAACCACTCACGCAGAAAACCACTCACGCAGAAAACCACTCACGCAGAAAACCACTCACGCAGAAAACCACTCACGCAGAACACCACTCACGCAGAACACCACTCACGCAGAACACCACTCACGCAGAACACCACTCACGCAGAAAACCACTCACGCAGAAAACCACTCACACAGAAAACCACTCACGCAGAAAACCACTCACGCAGAAAACCACTCACGCAGAAAACCACTCACGCAGAAAACCACTCACGCAGAAAACCACTCACACAGAAAACCACACTCACGCAGAAAACCACTCACACAGAAAACCACACTCACGCAGAAAACCACTCACACAGAAAACCACTCACACAGAAAACCACTCACACAGAAAACCACTCACACAGAAAACCAGTCACACAGAAAACCAGTCACACAGAAAACCAGTCACACAGAAAACCAGTCACACAGAAAACCAGTCACACAGAAAACCAGTCACACAGAAAACCAGTCACGCAGAAAACCAGTCACGCAGAAAACCAGTCACGCAGAAAACCAGTCACGCAGAAAACCACTCACGCAGAAAACCACTCACGCAGAAAACCACTCACGCAGAAAACCACTCACGCAGAAAACCACTCACACAGAAAACCAGTCACACAGAAAACCACGCACACAGAAAACCAGTCACACAGAAAACCAGTCACACAGAAAACCAGTCACACAGAAAACCAGTCACGCAGAAAACCACTCACGCAGAAAACCACTCACGCAGAAAACCACTCACGCAGAAAAACACTCACGCAGAAAACCACTCACGCAGAAAACCACTCACGCAGAAAACCAGTCACGCAGAAAACCACTCACGCAGAAAACCACTCACGCAGAAAACCACTCACGCAGAAAACCACTCACGCAGAAAACCACTCACGCAGAAAACCACTCACACAGAAAACCACTCACACAGAAAACCACTCACACAGAAAACCACTCACACAGAAAACCACTCACACAGAAAACCACTCACACAGAAAACCACTCACACAGAAAACCACTCACACAGAAAACCAGTCACACAGAAAACCACTCACACAGAAAACCACTCACGCAGAAAACCACTCACACACAAAATGCCATAGGTGCCCACACAGACACCCATAGGTAATGTAGACGTTAAACAACCCCCTCCTTCCCCCCCTCCCTCCCTCCCTCCCTCATTCCCCCCCCCTCCCTCCCTCATTCCCACCTCCCTCCCTCCTTCCCCCCTCCTCCCTCCTTGCCTCCTTCCTCCCTCCTTCCCTCTCTCCCCCCCATCCCCTCCCTCCCCCCTCCCTCCCCCCCATCCCCTCCCTCCCCCCTCTCCCTCCCCCTCATCCCCTCCCCCCTCCCTCTCCCTCCCCCCCATCCCCTCCCTCCCCCTTCCCTCTCCCTCCCCATTCCCCTCCCCGCGGGCCGCACCCAGGCAGTGGTAGGGCAGCACGATGTGCGAGTTGGCGTGGCAGCGAGCCTTGCCCCTCCTGCACCAGTTGTCCACCGACACGGCCTGCGTCGCCTCTTCAACGCCCGTCACCCGCAAGTCCGGGTACACCTGCACGAGCGCACAAAGGCAAAGATCCCCCGTGTAGCCTGGGGCAAGTGCCGGTAGCGGAGCAGCAGCGCCCTACGAAGGCCGGGGCGTCACGCACGAAGGGGGGGTGGGTGGCCAGCGTCACCCAGCGGCGATGGTAACAGCACGTCGTGCCGGGCAACTCATTTGAGGCCGAGTCGACCTGGGGGAGGAAAGCCCAGGACCGGTTCGGACAGTCGTCACCGGCGTTGGCCGCGAGCGGGAATCGAACCCGGGTCGCCGGGTTCGTAGCGCGGCGTAGCGCTGACCGCTACCGCCGCCGGCTGTAATTACCGGCGAAACGTCACCATGTGCCCGAATGTGCAAATGGCTGCAGTGGGTTGACCTGTCCAGCGCAGAAGCGGTTGTCGCTGAACGAGCAGCCGACTGGCCACGTTGTTGTTTACGTGACGAACCCCTCGCTGACTGGCCGTGGGTCCTCGTCGTCGGGTGGTGGCGTGGGTGGCCGGGGTTAACGACGCACAATTACGTGTTCACGCGATCGAACGCCAGCAGAAACCTCCTCTATTACGAACACGCATTTCTTAATCAGCTGCTGCTGCTGCTGCTGCAGGTGAGGGTCGCTCGAGAGAGAGAATCAAACTGCAAGCGCCGCCGCCGCTACCACCGCAGCCATCACCGCCACAGCCACCACCGCAACCACAGCCACCACCACCGCCACCACCGCAGCCACCACCGCAGCCACCACCGCAGCCATCACCGCAGCCACCACCGCAGCCACAGCCACCACCACCGCCACCACCGCAGCCACCACCGCAGCCACCACCGCAGCCACCACCGCAGCCACGGTCGCGTCGTGAGCCAAATCGGACAGAACAGGAAGCCGCAAGACGAGTGGGGGGTAAGGGGGGGTAAGAGGGGGGGAGAGACGTGTGGGGGGTAAGGGGGGGTAAGGGGGGTAAGGGGGGGGGGAGAGATGTGTGGGGGGTAAGGGGGGGAGAGACGTGTGGGGGGTAAGGGGGGGGGGGGGGAGAGACGCGTGGGGGTAAGGGGGGGGGAGAGAAGCGTGGGGGGTAGGGGGGGGAGACGTGTGGGGGGTAAGGGGGGGGGAGAGACGCGTGGGGAGTAAGGGGGGTAAGAGGGGGGGTAAGGGGGGGGAGAGAGACGTGTGGGGGGTAAGGGGGGGGGGGGGTAAGGGGCTGCTGCTTGCCTGCTGGCAGTACTTGAGGATGTCGTGGCTGCTGCTCAGGCAGGACGTGGTACCGGATGGGTCGGGCTCCCAGACGCCCGTGCGCAGGTCCAGGTGCATGTTCAGCTTCCCGCAGAACATGGCCACCTGGGGATGGGCGGAGCTTGGAGGAGGGGCGGCCTGTGGAGAGGGCGGGAGACGGGGAGCGTCGGTTAGTGTAGTTTGTTTAGTAGAGTTTAGATTGGTGAGTGTAGTTTGTTTAGTATAGTTTACTTAGTTTAGATTGGTGAGTGTAGTTTGTTTAGTATAGTTTACTGAAGTTAAGATTGGTGAGTGTAGTTTGTTTAGTATAGTTTAGTTTAGATTGGTGAGTGTAGTTTGTTTAGTATAGTTTAGATTGGTTAGTGTAGTTTGTTTAGTATAGTTTACTTTAGTTTAGATTGCTGAGTGTAGTTTGTTTAGTATAGTTTAGATTGGTTAGTGTAGTTTGTTTAGTATAGTTTACTTTAGTTTAGATTGGTTAGTGTAGTTTGTTTAGTATAGTTTACATTAGTTTCAATTGGTGAGTGTAGTTTGTTTAGTATAGTTCACTTTAGTTTAGGTTGGTGAGTGTAGTTTGTTTAGTATAGTTTACTTTAGTTTAGATTGGTTAGTGTAGTGTGTTTAGTATAGTTTACTTTAGTTAAGATTGGTGAGTGTAGTTTGTTTAGTATAGTTTACTTTAGTTTAGATTGGTGAGTGTAGTTTGTTTAGTATAGTTTACTTTAGTTTAGATTGGTGAATGTAGTTTGTTTAGTATAGTTTACTTTAGTTTAGATTGGTGAGTGTAGTTTGTTTAGTATAGTTTACTTTAGTTTAGATTGGTGAGTGTAGTTTGTTTAGTATAGTTTACTTTAGTTTAAATTGGTGAGTGTAGTTTGTTTAGTATAGTTTACTTTAGTTTAGATTGGTTAGTGTAGTTTGTTTAGATTAGTTTAGATTGGTTAGTGTAGTTTGTTTAGTAAAGTTTACTTTAGTTTAAATTGGTGAGTGTAGTTTGTTTAGTATAGTTTGCTTTAGTTTAGATTGGTGAGTGTAGTTTGTTTAGTAAAGTTTACTTTAGTTTAGATTGGTGAGTGTAGTTTGTTTAGTATAGTTTACTTTAGTTTAGATTGGTGAGTGTAGTTTGTTTAGTATAGTTTACTTTAGTTTAAATTGGTGAGTGTAGTTTGTTTAGTATAGTTTACTTTAGTTTAGATTGGTGAGTGTAGTTTGTTTAGTATAGTTTAGATTGGTTAGTGTAGTTTGTTTAGTATAGTTTACTTTAGTTTAGATTGCTGAGTGTAGTTTGTTTAGTATAGTTTAGATTGGTTAGTGTAGTTTGTTTAGTCTAGTTTACTTTAGTTTAGATTGGTTAGTGTAGTTTGTTTAGTAAAGTTTACTTTAGTTTCAATTGGTGAGTGTAGTTTGTTTAGTATAGTTCACTTTAGTTTAGGTTGGTGAGTGTAGTTTGTTTAGTATAGTTTACTTTAGTTTAGATTGGTGAGTGTAGTTTGTTTAGAATAGTTTACTTTAGTTTAGATTGGTTAGTGTAGTGTGTTTAGTATAGTTTACTTTAGTTAAGATTGGTGAGTGTAGTTTGTTTAGTATAGTTTACTTTAGTTTAGATTGGTGAGTGTAGTTTGTTTAGTATAGTTTACTTTAGTTTAGATTGGTGAGTGTAGTTTGTTTAGTATAGTTTACTTTAGTTTAGATTGGTGAGTGTAGTTTGTTTAGTATAGTTTACTCTAGTTTAGATTGGTGAGTGTAGTTTGTTTAGTATAGTTTACTTTAGTTTAGATTGGTGAGTGTAGTTTGTTTAGTATAGTTTACTTTAGTTTAAATTGGTGAGTGTAGTTTGTTTAGTATAGTTTACTTTAGTTTAGATTGGTTAGTGTAGTTTGTTTAGTTTAGTTTAGATTGGTTAGTGTAGTTTGTTTAGTAAAGTTTACTTTAGTTTAGATTGGTGAGTGTAGTTTGTTTAGTATAGTTTGCTTTAGTTTAGATTGGTGAGTGTAGTTTGTTTAGTAAAGTTTACTTTAGTTTAGATTGGTGAGTGTAGTTTGTTTAGTATAGTTTACTTTAGTTTAGATTGGTTAGTGTAGTTTGTTTAGTATAGTTTACTTTAGTTTAGATTGGTTAGTGTAGTTTGTTTAGTATAGTTGACTTTAGTTTAGATTGGTGAGTGTAGTTTGTTTAGTATAGTTTACTTTAGTTTAGATTGGTGAGTGTAGTTTGTTTAGTATAGTTTACTTTAGTTTAGATTGGTGAGTGTAGTTTGTTTAGTATAGTTTAGATTGGTGAGTGTAGTTTGTTTAGTATAGTTTACTTTAGTTTAGATTGGTGAGTGTAGTTTGTTTAGTATAGTTTACTTTAGATTGGTTAGTGTAGTTTGTTTAGTATAGTTTACTTTAGTTTAGATTGGTGAGTGTAGTTTGTTTAGTATAGTTTACTTTAGTTTAGATTGGTGAGTGTAGTTTGTTTAATATAGTTTAGATTGGTGAGTGTAGTGTGTTTAGTATAGTTTACTTTAGTTTAGATTGGTTAGTGTAGTTTGTTTAGTAAAGTTACTTTAGTTTAGATTGGTGATGTAGTTTGTTTAGTATAGTTTACTTTAGTTTAGATTGGTGAGTGTAGTTTGTTAGTATAGTTTACTTTAGTTTAAATTGGTGAGTGTAGTTTGTTTAGTATAGTTTACTTTAGTTTAGATTGGTTAGTGTAGTTTGGTTAGTATAGTTTACTTTAGTTTAGATTGGTGAGTTTAGTTCGTTTAGTATAGTTTACTTTAGATTGGTGAGTGTAGTTTGTTTAGTATAGTTTACTTTAGTTTAGATTGGTGAGTGTAGTTTGTTTAGTATAGTTTACTTTAGTTTAGATTGGTGAGTGTAGTTTGTTTAGTATAGTTTACTTTAGTTTAGATTGGTGAGTGTAGTTTGTTTAGAATAGTTTTACTTTAGTTGGTGAGTGTAGTTTGTTTAGTATAGTTTACTTTAGTTTAGATTGGTTAGTGTAGTTTGTTTAGTATAGTTTAGATTGGTGAGTGTAGTTTGTTTAATATAGTTTAGATTGGTGAGTGTAGTTTGTTTAGTATAGTTTACTTTAGTTTAGATTGGTGAGTGTAGTTTGTTTAGTATAGTTTACTTTAGTTTAGATTGGTGAGTGTAGTTTGTTTAGCATAGTTTAGATTGGTGAGTGTAGTTTGTTTAGTATAGTTTACTTTAGTTTAGATTGGTGAGTGTAGTTTGTTTAGTATAGTTTACTTTAGTTTAGATTGGTTAGTGTAGTTTGTTTAGTATAGTTTACCTCAGTTTAGATCGGTTAGTGTAGTTTGTTTAGTATAGTTTACTTTAGATTGGTTAGTGTAGTTTGTTTAGTATAGTTTACTTTAGTTTAGATTGGTGAGTGTAGTTTGTTTAGTATAGTTTACTTTAGTTTAAATTGGTGAGTGTAGTTTGTTTAGTATAGTTTACTTTAGTTTAGATTGGTGAGTGTAGTTTGTTTAGTATAGTTTAGATTGGTGAGTGTAGTTTGTTTAGTATAGTTTACTTTAGTTTAGATTGGTGAGTGTAGTTTGTTTAGTATAGTTTACTTTAGTTTAGATTGGTTAGTGTAGTTTGTTTAGTATAGTTTACCTCAGTTTAGATCGGTTAGTGTAGTTTGTTTAGTATAGTTTACTTTAGATTGGTTAGTGTAGTTTGTTTAGTATAGTTTACTTTAGTTTAGATTGGTGAGTGTAGTTTGTTTAGTATAGTTTACTTTAGTTTAAATTGGTGAGTGTAGTTTGTTTAGTATAGTTTTACTTTAGTTTAGATTGGTGAGTGTAGTTTGTTTAATATAGTTTAGATGGTGGTGAGTGTAGTGTGTTTAGTATAGTTTACTTTAGTTTAGATTGGTTAGTGTAGTTTGTTTAGTAAAGTTACTTTAGTTTAGATTGGTGAGTGTAGTTTCTTTAGTATAGTTTACTTTAGTTTAGATTGGTGAGTGTAGTTTGTTTAGTATAGTTTACTTTAGTTTAAATTGGTGAGTGCAGTTTGTTTAGTATAGTTTACTTTAGTTTAGATTGGTTAGTGTAGTTTGTTTAGTATAGTTTACTTTAGTTTAGATTGGTGAGTGTAGTTTGTTTAGTATAGTTTACTTAGTTTAGATTGGTGAGTGTAGTTTGTTTAGTATAGTTTACTGAAGTTAAGATTGGTGAGTGTAGTTTGTTTAGTATAGTTTAGTTTAGATTGGTGAGTGTAGTTTGTTTAGTATAGTTTAGATTGGTTAGTGTAGTTTGTTTAGTATAGTTTACTTTAGTTTAGATTGCTGAGTGTAGTTTGTTTAGTATAGTTTAGATTGGTTAGTGTAGTTTGTTTAGTATAGTTTACTTTAGTTTAGATTGGTTAGTGTAGTTTGTTTAGTATAGTTTACATTAGTTTCAATTGGTGAGTGTAGTTTGTTTAGTATAGTTCACTTTAGTTTAGGTTGGTGAGTGTAGTTTGTTTAGTATAGTTTACTTTAGTTTAGATTGGTTAGTGTAGTGTGTTTAGTATAGTTTACTTTAGTTAAGATTGGTGAGTGTAGTTTGTTTAGTATAGTTTACTTTAGTTTAGATTGGTGAGTGTAGTTTGTTTAGTATAGTTTACTTTAGTTTAGATTGGTGAGTGTAGTTTGTTTTAGTATAGTTTACTCTTAGTTTAGATTGGTGAGTGTAGTTTGTTTAGTATAGTTTACTTTAGTTTAGATTGGTGAGTGTAGTTTGTTTAGTATAGTTTACTTTAGTTTAAATTGGTGAGTGTAGTTTGTTTAGTATAGTTTACTTTAGTTTAGATTGGTTAGTGTAGTTTGTTTAGATTAGTTTAGATTGGTTAGTGTAGTTTGTTTAGTAAAGTTTACTTTAGTTTAAATTGGTGAGTGTAGTTTGTTTAGTATAGTTTGCTTTAGTTTAGATTGGTGAGTGTAGTTTGTTTAGTAAAGTTTACTTTAGTTTAGATTGGTGAGTGTAGTTTGTTTAGTATAGTTTACTTTAGTTTAGATTGGTGAGTGTAGTTTGTTTAGTATAGTTTACTTTAGTTAAATTGGTGAGTGTAGTTTGTTTAGTATAGTTTACTTTAGTTTAGATTGGTGAGTGTAGTTTGTTTAGTATAGTTTAGATTGGTTAGTGTAGTTTGTTTAGTATAGTT